CACACACACAAGAATATACTATCAAGCAAAATGAAGCACGTAACAACCTGATGGCTGTCCCAGATGATGTGTCAGGGTAGTTCTAAAATGAGTTGAGGGACAAAAAGCAAAAAAGAACAGGTGGATGGAATTTCCTACACATCAGCAATTTCAGATTAATAACAGGATTTAGTTTAACAGCAAAGATTTTTCAGGGAAAGGGAATGAAGGATGTCTTTAAAAGTTTCTAAGTGAGAAAAGATATGTAATACTAAAACTGAAATGAAGACCTAGAGGATTGTGCTCTGTTAATAACAAGTAGTGGGTTTCAGGATACACATTTCCTATGTGTATTCCTTGCTGTTAATACTATGCACATTAGGGCTGGTAAGATTAACACATTTCCTATGTGTATCCTGAAACCCACTACATTTACAAAACTCTACTATTTGGGAACATATATCAGTTTGTTTGTTTTCTCTTAAGTTTCTTTCCTTAAGCCCAACCATACCACAATCTTTGAACAGCAGGGCCATCTTGTGTTTGTATTCTACTTATGTATAGGTCCTAGTACAGTCCCCACCCCACCCCCATCCCTCCAAATACACTGTGGGTTTTCAAAAAATATTAGGAATAAGTCGATATGTTCAAGGGGGAAAAACATTTCACATTAATGCCTTCCAGATAGCGGCCTCTTTTCAGAAAGAGAAAGGTGCTTGCTGTTAATATTACTCACATTAGGGCTGGTATAATTAACATTATCATTCTCAATCAGTGGCATATAGGTAGAAGAGTTAGCAAGTTCTTCTCATTTTACAAATTAAGAAATTGTAGGATGGAGAATGAAGTGGAATTGGCTAGGGTCCCACAGAGTTAGTGGAGCTGCCTACTTCAGTACTGTCATTCCTCAACCTTCAGATCTGAGATAAACTACTTCTGTTTGGTGTCTCAAGGGCCATTCATACATACCCTAAAGATGAGTTCAAAATCTTCTCTCCATACAACTATTTATTTCTGCATCCTCTAATTCAGTTAATGGTATACCTTCTCTATCTGCCCTCTGTGCCTCAAGGTAACCTGGACAGTATTCTAGATTGCTTTGATTTCTTCTTCCTTATTCTGCTATCAATCATTAGTGTTCTAACCATTTTATCTTCTAATTATTTATCACATGAATCTTTCATGACTCCTGTCCTTAGATTTTAATTTCTCCTCTGCACTGTCACAATCTCTATTTAGTGTCTATTTATAGTCCCTCAATATTATCTTATATGTTGCTGATAGTGTGATCTTATATAAAATGCAAACCTGGCATGTTATTTTACAGCTTCAGGCTCTTTAGTGGCTGCATGTTACCTAAGAAAAAAGTCCAAGCTCCTTAGCAAGGACCATAGGTCCTCAAAATATGTGGACCTTTCCAACCTCAGCTGGTACAGTGGCATGTGCCTATAATCCCAGCAACTCTGGAGGCTGAGGCAGGAGGACTGAGTTCAAAGCCAGCCTGGGGAAATTAGTGAGATTGTATCTCAAAACAAAAGTATCTAACCTAAGCACATTCTTCAGTAATATTCTACAGTCTCCTGTTATCTGAGCATCTGATGCTGCTTTACGCTTCTGATCCAGTGTCATCTTCTTGGAGGCCTCCTTGATTCAACTGCTCATATTTTTAACACAGCACTTAATCTGCAAAAACTGTCGCTATGTCCACAGAAGTGTCTAAAACCATTCATGGCAGTCCCTTGCTGAGCCCAAGGCTCTCACCTTCCTATCTCCAGGGCCTGGTACAACAGTGGGCAAAGTAGATTTCAGAAGTTTTGGGGTAGCATTATGTTAAATGAACATCTAGGAATGGGGTCTGTTGGGTAGGGGCACACATAGGGACAGGAGCTGTGAAAAGAGAATAAAAAAAACTTTGTCCAGAGAAGGTGTTGATTAAGCTGAATCTTGAAGAAAGTGGGGAAACAAGGGTGATAAAAGACATACCAGACAGAACAGTATTTGCAAAGGTCTGAACTCCCAGGAGAACCTGGCACATTTAAGAAACTGCAAATGAGGGGCTGAAGTTGTAGCTCAGTGGTAGAGTGTTTGCCTTGCATGTGTGAGGCACTGGGTTCAATCCTCAGCACCACATAAAAACAAATAAACAAAATAAAGGTATTGTGTCTGTGTACAACTAAAAAAAAAAAAAAAAAAGAAAGAAAGAAACCGTAACCAAGCCTGAAACAATGACACATGACTTCAATCCCAGTGACTCAGGAGGCTGAGGCAGGAGGATCACAAATTTGATGTCAGCATCAGCAAAAATAAAAGAGGGCTGGGAATGCAGTTCAGTGATAAAGTAACCCTGGGTTCAGTCCCCAGTACTGCCAAAAAAAAAAAAAAAACGTAAAAATTTAGAAACGAATATGACAGAGGGCAGGATCCATGTGTGAGGGTTGCTGGGCTGGAGATTGGAAAAACAGATAGGGCCCATGCTATTAAAATGTGGCCTACATCTAGATCTTGCAAGAGAATTAAACAAATATTTACTTCAATACTGCCATTACTTCAGGTATGACAATCTTCATGCATCTTCATGCATCCTAATCTACTTTTGATTGCTTATCTGGCATTAGTTGTGTTACTTTTGAGACGTTACCTTTCTGTCTTGTTTGCCTTACTCATTCTTATAAAAATAGTACCTACCTCAAAAGGCTGTCTGAAAAACTAATGTCAATAAAGAACATAAAATAGTGGCACACAAAAAGATCAATGGGTATTTTTATTGATCTTCCTATACTGACAACTGATGAGATTTGAGAGGACGGAAGGGCTATACTTGAAACTCACAGGACGTAACAATTTCAGTTTTTATCTTGGGAAACAAAACTAGCAGGAATCTCAGTTTTATGTTCATGATTTCAGGTAATACTGAAAAATGACCACCAGATTCCTCTGGATATTTTATATTTGGTAATAAGTTTAGCTAGAAAGCATATACTCAAAGTATAATCTGTCCAATTACTTTTAAAGGTTTATGTTATAGTTGCTTATACTGAAGGTCATTTCAAATTTTCTGCCTACCGAGTGCAGCCTTGACTGATTTTCTGAAGTTTACTTCCATTGAATAGCATTTATTCACTTGCAAACTTTTTTCCTTATTGACTCCCAAGTCACTTCCAGCTAGAATTTTAAGAGAAGGGTTCTTAGAAATTGTGTAGTCCAAAATTCTAATTTTACAAACAAGAAAAGTGAAACACAGAGGTTGACTGACTTATCCAAAGTTGTTTATCTTCTCTGAGAACTGTTACTCTTTCCTAAAATGTGCTGTTGGATATACCCTCTATTAATCACAGTGTTTTCAATGTGGGAACTGTGTGCTAATTCCCAATCCTTGTTTATTCTGAGTGAACCTAAAATGACAACATATCTTCTTCTGGATCTTGGAAAACATGATTGTTTTCCTCTTATTTACTCATATTTTGTGTTCCCTAATGATAAATACCTCATGCATGGTGTTTTCCTAATTTCTGCTAAAAATCTATTAGTATGCCCAGTGTCTATAAAATCATTCTCTCCCAAGAAATGTTTCTTTTATTTAACCATTTGACTGGGTAGATTCTGATCTCACTGGTATGGCTTAGATGTTGTTCTAAAATTTGTAAAATGGTTACATCTCCTAGGCAGGCTTCTAAGAAAAATTTTGACAGTCAGTGCTTGACAGGTTCAGTGTTCCTGTTTACTGACGTTGTACTCAGCCTAATGGGCACAAGGCCTACCAGCTCACACTCCTACCTAACCAGTTCTGCTCCAGAGGTGGGCTCTGTTTCTCTGATACACTCTGGAGCCTGTCCAGTCACCTAAAGTGAAGTCTGGTGTAAAGACATGAGCTGAGGGGCTAGGGATGTGGCTCAAGTGGTAGTGTGCTCACCTGGCATGAGTGAGGCCTTGGGTTGGATTCTCAGCACCACATAAAAATAATGTGTCCACCTAAAAAACTAAAAAATAAATATTAAAAAAAAAAAAAGAGATGAGCTGATTCAATCAGATTCTTGCTCTTGGGACTATGGCTCAAACTCAGGATTCATATAGTAAAGACAAAGTCTGAAAGAATGCAGAAAGGTAATCCATAAAACATACAGGTATGAGAGATCAGAAGTTATAAGAGAAACTATGTGAAAGCAGAGGCTCTGAGATAGATAAAAAGCAAGAATAAGGGACTCAAACAGGGGACCAGACAGGGATGGAAAGAGTGGGCTGTATAAAAATATAAGTGTTTATTGCATGAAGAAGTTACACTAGTAAATGTGCCGAAATCTCACGTGGTACCCCATTGATATCTATAATTCGTTTTTAATATATAAGTTAAAAAATAATTAAAAAATGTAAAAAAGGAGTGCACACTCCATTCTCCTGTTGTTAAAGGTCCTACAGGGGCAATCCCTGTTGGTTATCAAGCATAAACTAACATTTCATCACCTGTAAATGAAACATTTTTCCCTTTACCACTACCTGTGGATGCAAGCTCGGTCCCACACCCCCTAATCCATTCTTAGTACAATGGATTTGCTTCTTGCAACCCAAAAGACTAAGACACCTGGGAAACAATCGGGAGCACTAAAGTGAGCTTTCAGTTCTATGGCCATGTGCGACTGAATGGCCAGGTCCATTCTCAAGGGATGTTTTGCATATGCAACAAACTGGTCCTAACTTTACCACTCGCAGCTTTCTTGTCCATCCTTATTTCCTTCAGAAACAAGACGCTAATCAATGCTCCCAGGGCAAGAACCAAGGTATCCAACTTGGGGGGAAATGTCACGAGTTTCTGAACGTCTTCTCTGGCACAACGAAGGGCAAGCCCTCTGCTCCTCCCCGCCCGAGGTTTCAGAGGACCACACCAATTAGCAGGGACACGTTTTTTGGTGGCGGACCCTCATCACCGTCGAGAGGCAGCCGGCGCCCCTCAGAGGTTCCCTGCCCCTGGGAACATTCTGGGGCGCCCGCGCCCCGAACCCTCCCGGCCCCGCCGCCCGCCGGGTCACCTGTAATTATAGGCGTTGAAATGCTTGCTCTCTCTCAGCATCGCTCGGTACAGATCTAACACTTGTGCGCGGCTGGAGGCTGCCATTTTGGAAAAAGAACCAAGAAAAAAAAAAAGTGGGGGGGGAGGGAACCCCAAACCAAAAACACCAAACAAACCCCAAATAGGTCCTGTTTGCGGAAGTCCTGAGTTTAACTCAACCCAAATTTCAGCCTATACAAAAGCCACGAACGAAATAACCCGCAGCAACAGTCTTTGCCCGCGGGCGGCCCTGGGCCTAGGTGAGTACCGTTGCGGCCGGCGCCCGGCGTCCCGCGCCTCTTGGAGGCGGGCGCAGGCAGGGCTACGGGCAGCTAAGGGGGCGGCGCGGAGGGGGAGGTGCTCGCGCTCCCGCCTCCTCCGGGGAGGCTCCCGGGGTTACGAAAAGCGCCGCTCCTGCGGCCGAAATGGGCAATGAGGCTGGAAACCTGGGGCGGCCTGTGACCACTTGCCACGCTCCTCGGTGGATGAAGGTCAGCGGCTTGAGCACTGAAAGCGCGCAGCCAGGTCGCCAACCGCCTCAGCGAACCGCCCAGGGGCGTGGCGGAGACATCAGTGTCTCAGAAGCTTGGCTCTTCTTTGCACCTGCCGGAGGCCGCGTTGCCCGGGTTACCGAGCGCGCGCCGCGCCGACGCCCCGCCCTCGACAGCTATGGCTGCCCTCGGCAGTGCCTGACAGACTAATTGCCATTTCGAGGGTGATTTTACTTTGGCTGAGCCCCGTCGCGGATTGCAGTTTGGTTGTGTTCTCTTAGCTGGGGTTTCCGTGTAATAGGCGCCGTGGTGACCGGCCAGCGGCTTCCTGGCGCTCCGGCCTCGCTCAGGACGACTGTCTCAGGGACCTTTCGTGTAGGACCCGCTTTTTGTCAAAATGGCAGCGCCCATCGCGTACTGGTGTCCATGAAGTGGGAGATTGAGCTGTGGGTGAGAGCGTGTAAGCTTGCCGCGTTTCTGATTTTGAAACATCCCGGGTCTGAGCTCCCTGGAGGACGGTGGGTGTGTGGTGGCCTTGCTGCAGCTTGGGGTGTGACGTAGGTGGTTAATATGGTAGGGAGTTTGCACTTCGCTGTGGATTTTTCCCATTTCCGGGATATTCTTTGAGGCTCTTGAGGTGTCCCCCACCCCACCCCACCCGCTCCACGAGTCAAGAGTCCTCAGAATTTTGTGATCAAATATTTAAAATGGCGAGAATTCTGGGTTCTAGATGTTCCTGATCAATTAGAGAATCTTTAGGGCTTTAGTGACTCTCAGTATTATTTGACAGCCAAAGCAAGAAGCTAAGTAAGTTATTTTCCATGGCTTTTTTCAGAAGACTTCGAATTTTCTGAATTACCTTCTTAATGTGGTGGATAAAGTTTCGCGTTTTGCTCGTTGACCCTGGGACTGGGCTCCGGGAAACCTCATCCAGTTCTGCTTACTGTGTTTGTAAAGCACTTTTGTTTTTGGACTGTTTATGTAACCGACTTTGGAAGAGCCATAGTTTTCTGTCCCAAAACATAGCGAAGTTTAATTTTGTATGTAAAAACCAAGTTTGCATTAACATGTGTTCTGTTGTTTTATCTGGTTTCGAGACGACCTTTCCTCTATATTGAAACAACTTAGTATTTTCAATAACTCTAAGCACAGAAATCGCTTCTGCGACCTTACCAGGCTTTGTAGTGTAAGTAGAACCTGATGTCCTTGCATCCAAATACTGTAGTCGTGGTGAAATGGCCTTTTAGAAAAGGTGTTGAGCAACTGCTTTAATAAAAGCCCCTTTAAACCACCTGTCTGATTTCTTAAGGACTTCTACGTCTATAAATCTCAAAATAGATTTTTTTTTTTTTAAACAGGGTAGCAGAACTTTTATTACTCTTGTTGATGGGTCAAGTTATTGTTTCGAGTTTGGTGAAAGTACTTGCAATACTTTTTCCTTTGGGATTTATTAGGCTCCATTACCAAGGGAATTACACATTGTTATAGAGCAGGATTCAGAGCTGTTTTAAGATGATACACTGTTAAGTGCTGATGATATAGAATATGTGGCACCTGGAAAAGCAACATTAACACAAGTTACAGATAGACAAAGCTATCAGAGTGAAAAGGACGAACAGGAAAATTGTTTTGGTTTGTTTTAAAATAATGAGAATAAGCCAGGCACTGTTGGGAAGGCCTGTAATCCCAATGACTCTGTAGGGAGACTGAGGCAGGAGGGTCACAAATTCAGGACCAGCCTCAGCAATTCAGAGACCCTGTCTCAAAATAAAAATTAATTTTTTTTCTCAGGTTTTTGCATCCACCCAAATAAAGCAAATAAATAAAAAAGGGCCTGGGGTGTAATTCAGTAGTAAAGTACTTCTGAGTTCAATTCCCAGTAAACCCTCCCCACAAAAGTGGGGATTACATTTTTATTGTATTTTGCTTTCATCTTGAAAGTGAATAGTTACTGTATACATTATGCCTAAGAAATTATAATAATTACTGACTGGTTTTTTCCTTAAGCCTAATTATCAAGGAATCTAGTATACATTGATTATAATGTGTCTCAACTTTCTAAACATATATGTAAAGCTAAAGTTGTTTGGGTAGCCTATTCATCTGTTATTACGATAAATGGTTGAGCTTGAAGTGACAGCGTCCCAGTGTTGGAAGTAAAATTTGTGGGACGCTGTTATGGTTTGGATATGAGATATCTCCCAACATCTCATGTCTGAGACAATGCAAGAAAGTTTAGAGAGAAATGATTGGGTATAGCCTTAACCTAATTAGTGAATCAATCCCTGATGGGATTAACTGAGTGGTGACTGGAGGCTGGTAGGGTGTGGCTATTGGAAGTGGTTCACTGGGGGCATGGCTATGGGGTATATATTTTGTATCTGCAGAGTAGAGACTTCCTCTCTCTGCCTTCTGATCACCATGATGTGAGCTACTTCTTCTGCCAAACTTTCCTGCCATGATGTTCAACCTTACCTCGAGCCCCTAGGAAGGGAGCCGACCTTCTGTGGACTAAGACCTCTGAAACTGTGAGCTCTTAAATAAATTTTTCCTCCTATACAATTGTTCTGGTCAGATCTTTTAGTCACGGCAGCAAAAAAGCTGACTAAAACAGAGTCAATGGATTTGGGCTGGGCACCCACAAGTGGATCCAACAGACCAAACCAGCAAAAAGCTTAATTATAGTAACTTACCACTGGTTTGTTGCTGGAGGCCCTATAGCCAACTAACCAATTAAATTTTAATCATTTGATTGACTAAGCTGTGGCCAGTTAACATTTCTGTGCTTCAGTTTTTCTATAAATATAGACAATAGCATAATAAATATAGTCAAATAATACTGTTGGTTGGAGTTCTCAGAACCTGCTTGGGTTCTGGGGTTTCCAAATTCTCAGACTACTTTTGTTTTCTTTGCCCAAAGACACTACTAAATTTAATTGGTTTAAGGAGTTTCCCTTTTAATACTATTTAATGTTAACTTTTTTAAAAAAAGACCTTATTTGAAGCAATTTACTAGTGTGCTGAACATCATTGCCTATAAAGAGTAACAAAAAAATTACACTTTCACTGCAGGGATGACTATATATTTTTAAAATATTAACTATTTGAGATTTCGAGTAGAATTGGACTAGAAACTGAAAATAAATCTTACTGATGTCCTTCAATAGGCATTCTATTCTGTACTGTGTTTTTTCTTAGGTAATAACTGTAAACTAGAAGGTACCTACCATCAAGCCCCCAAATGTAAAAATTTCCTTAACATTCATGCAAACATAATTATAAATATAATTTCACAGAAGTTTGCATAGTTTTTTGCCTATATAAAATCATGTATTGCCTTTTATTAAAATTAGGGTTATCAATGAGTATTTAATGTTTCATAGAGACATTTCTCTTAACATAATAAATAGTAATTTACTATCTTTATGCTTAATTATCAAATTGATGTGTAAAGAAAATTTTATATAGAAGCCACGCAATATTTAGAAATTATTGTACTCCATATGTAGACACAGATCTTCATTATACACTTCTCTCTTTCTCTTTTTTTTAATAGTATTTCATTTAGAATTTCTTTTTAAAAAATTTTTTAGTTTTAGATGGACACAATAAATTTATTTTCTTTTAATATGGTGCTTAGGATTGAATCCAGTACCTTACACATACTAGGCAAGTGCTCTATCTACCCCTGAGCCAGAACCCCAGCCCATCATTTGGTATTACTTGATCCTTCATTCTAAGAGAAAGCGAACTGGGAGAGACCATAAACATCATATCAGTGATTTGTACAGAAGATCAAACTGAAATCCTTCTTTTTTTTTTTTCTTTAGCATGAGTGTTTTATGTGTGCCATACATTATAAAAGGTAGTGCAGTTACAGTGATGAGAGCCCCCTCCTCCTAGAAACCTATAGAGGAATAGACAAAACAGTAATATTTTTACTATAATGTGTTTGAAAGGTGCTGTGATAGGCATAGTAATACCAAATGCTAGAGTAGTACAGAAGTGGGATATTCAACTAGGGACTGTGACCTAAGGGAAGACTGAATATAGCAGAAGATGCAGAAAGAGTAGCGAAAGCCAGATGATGAATGTGTTTAGAGGTTGCAGTGTATATAAGACATAGAAGCATGAAAGTGAACACCATCTATTTAGGTAACTTTTTGTTTGTTTGTTTTGGATACCAGGGATTGAACTTGGGGGCAGTCAATGACTGAGCCACATTCCCAGCCTTATTTTATATTTTATTTAGAGATGGGTCTCACTGAGTTGCTTAGTGCCTCACTGTTGCTGAGGCGGGCCTTGAACTTGAGATCCTTCTGCCTCATCCTCCCAAGCTCCTGGAATTACACCACTGTGCCTGTCATATTTAGGTAACTCTTAAGTGGTTTGGAGTGGTAGGAGGTGAGAAGGGAGGAACATCTAGTGGACCACAGAACTGCTCCCTACCAGCTTCCTTTTAGTGATGCTTACTCTTTTTTTTTTTTTTGGAGTTAGTCATTTTCTTCCTTTGCATTGGCTAAGACATAAGTGAAGTAGAACTTAACAGTTGAGCTTTTGAGATGCAGATTTGTTATCCAGGCTTTTGTTTCAAACCCTGATTTTGAATCCTATGTTGGAGGAGCACTGCCATTTCTTTTATCTGTATACTCACTAGAAAGCTGAGCAGGCTGGTACTTGTAACTTGAGGGCCAAAAATCAAATACTGATTCCAGGAGTTTATAGGTAGTACGTTTATGCATTTGTCCTCTGAAAGCTCACATGTGAGACGATGCAAGGTTTGCAGGAGAAATGATTGGGTTATAGTCTTAGCCTAGTCAATGAGTTGATGGGATTAACTGAAGGGTAGGGTGTGGCTGGAGGAGGCATTGGGTTTGGCTCTGGGTATATATTTGTATCTAGAGAGTGGAGTTTCTCTCTCTGGTCATCATCATCATCATCATTTTCTCATCATCTGGTCACCATGATGTGAGTTGCTTTTCTCTGCTACCCTTTCCCACCATGATGTTCAGCCTCACCTCAAGCCCTGAGGAATAGAGCCGGCCTTCTATGGACTAACACCTTTGAAACCAAGCCCTCAAATAAACTTTTCCTCTGCTACAGTTGTTCTACTGAGATCCTTTAGTTGCAACAGCGAAAAAACTGTTATAACATATTGGATGGGAAGTGCTGCAAAGCAGAGAGGTCTCAAGGTGAGGAGAGGCCATGTCTGACCCTGATGTTTAGGCAACACTCAGACAAATAGCCTGGCTGTTTTAAATTCCCTGGATGATCATAGCTAGAGTTGGTAAACATTGATCTATGGACATTGAGAGGCTTTAAGGAGGAAGTAGTATTTGGGTTGGTCTGGGGGATTTAGGTTTGATCTGGGCCTTGAGAGCAGTTAGGGGTGTGGTTGCGTTGGTAAGATGGCTACTGCTGGAGGAACACTTACCCTTTACCTTGGGCAGGGTAGAAGAGATACCCAGAGTGCGGGCTGGGGGACAGATAATGGTGTAGTGACCAACTGAAGGGGGCT